TATTAATACATATATTTGGAATATGATTTTTTCATGTTCAGTCTATTCAATCAATTTAAATGTCACTAAACCATCTTTTGATCATTCAATTAAAAAGAGATAGAAAATTATCTTATACTCCCTCCGTCCCATTTAAAGGTTCTCGTCCACTATTTTCCAGTCAATGTGAATTGTTCTTAATTTTTTACTTTATATGACAAAATTATAAAGTAAAAATTATAAAGTTGACAAAGTCATAAGGGACGGAATGAGTATTTACTACAATAATCTTATTAATGACATGGATCAGTTAACTTTATGCTCAGACAGACATCATAAAACGCGTCAGAAGCTTTAAGTGGGACAGAAAGAGTGCCAAATATATCAAACTTGCTTTTTCATAGACATTTTTTCATTTTACAAATTTGTAAAGGTAATAATAAAATGGTCAACATTGGTATTGGATTGTGAATTGGGATTAGAGCTAACTAGTCATTGAATGATTACATAAAATTCAAAGACAGTGTTGGTCATGTAATGATGTAAAATCCAAGTTGCAAGAGGAGAGGTCCAAATTTGTTTGCCAGCTTTAGAAAACTAAAAAAGGCCCTAAAACAAGCAACAACAATACATCATCTCAATTCATACGAGAAAGTCAAAAAAGGCAAAGTAGAGTATCTAGCTTTAGCATGTAGGACGCAACGCTCTTCTTGCTGTACTCGCCAATTTGGATGACATTCGATGATACGAACTAGGTATGTGTTACCTTTGTAATTGGGTTGATGATGATCCTTTTTCGCAAAAGGACATTAGCTCCTCTTGTCTTCTTATGTTCTTTGTTTTGTTATTTTGAATGTCCATCTCTTTACAAAAAAAATGAAAGTTGTTTGACTGCACATCAACGATAATGATATGTATACATTGTTGGGTGTGTCTCAGAAAAACGAAGAAATATTAATTAATAAAAATAATAAATTAATTTAAAACGTATTCGTCGCCTCCCACGGTGCTAGGAGCATTGTAACGATCGTTTCCCAGGATACGGTGGCTAACGAACTAACGTTTGAGCACACAAACGAGAGTTCCGACGAATGAGAACAAAGGCAGAACACTCAGGAATTTTCGGAGTAGCTGGAAGTGTTTGTAGAGCTAAAAACTACGTGCAGATTGCTAGTGAACGTGTAAGAACGTGTGTTTGTTGCAAAGCACTTGCCAGCTATTTATAGGAGGATTTGTTGTGTGTTAAATGTAGTGTTAATGGACCTAAACGTTGGACATCAATGACCAGTCCGTTGGGCATTGAATCGTCCATAAAATGTCCATTTAACGCAACATTAAAAGACAAGAACGTTGGGCATTTATTGTTGTAACGGACCAGGATACGTCGAGCACTTATGGTGCGAGCATCAGAGTTGGAGTACTTCAGATGCGACCAGAAGACCGCAACAGAACACCTCACCAGAAGACCTCAACAGAACACCTCGAGGTGTTCTGTCCGGAAGCTACCAGAAAACCTCAAGGTTTTCTGGTCCCGAAGCCAACAGAGACCCTCTCAGGTCTTCTGGTCCGGAGCAGTTCTGCTGCTGAGCATTTCTGATTCTGGGAAAAAATAAAACGTTACGGGAAGAAACAAAAATTAAATCGTATCTTTGAATGATAGATTTTTGGACGACATTCGTGTCCGCAGGTCGCCCGCGCACACGAGTCACAATTTTTCTTCTCTGTTTCAGGATTTGATCGGCACCCCCCTGCGTGTAAGAGAGAGCCTTTACCTCTAGGAATCTTAACTCCTTAAAAGAGGCTTCTCTTTATAAGGGGGTGAAAATCCCTTGAGTTTTCCGGTGTGGTATAAAACACACTAGAAACCCATCCTTTTCCCAGTTTTCCATTTCAACGAGTGAACTTCGAGAATCAATTTCTCATTCACCCGTTATCCGTTTTGAGCGTACCATATATCGATTTGTAGCCCTTAACAAGGACAATCCGAAACCACTTTGACTCGACCCAAATCAGAAGTGGACCCCACTCAAATAATTTCCCCAAAATCACCATTTAATGCAATTTTTAACACATTTTTCCAACATACATTGTAGTCATTACCTTGATATCTTATTACATAGTGGCTCGTGAGGGTGATGGAGAGGGGGGATGGGGGTGCGGAGCTCGCAGGCGAGGACACTAACTAAGTAACTCTATTGCTCACTGGTGTCGGGGTAATCACTGGGGCGACACCAATTAGTGGTGTGATTGTGTAACTGTCACTAGAACGGTGGTGTAACTGTCATTGACTGAATGGTCAATGACGACGACGACGTTCACCGGCGGCGACGGTCACCCACAATGTCTGATCACTGAGCGGAGTAGGTAACGTTGACACTGGACAAACTATGGTGTCACTATCACGACCACTGGGCAAGACATAAATGTCATATACGTCTCATTTTTTATTACTTTTAAAACTGGTTTCATATTTATCCAAAACTTCTATTTTAGTAATATTGATGGCAAAACCCTTATTTTTTTATTGAAATCACCTATTTTTCTAGTGATGATAGAGGCTCATGGTGAGACTAGACACATTATATGACTCCATATGGAGCTTAAATAATACGTCATCCGTATTTTAAAGATTGCTGCATTAGTTTTGACATATTATTTAACAAAAAAGGCAGTAGGATTAATAAACAACGTATAAAAAGTAGGAGAAAGAGCGTAAAAGTATGAAAGAGAAGAAAAATATAGAAAAAATAAGAATTCTCAAATTTTAACGAAAAACTTATCAAAAGGGAAAATATATCAAACTTTAAGATGCATCTCAAAAAGAAAAGTGCAGTAATCTTCAAATAGTGATGGAGTACCAAGGATATGGCACCTTAAATAAAATTTCCCCACAATTACAGGGCCGTTTAATGGATTTGGGACCCCCGGTTTCAATTGTAAAATCGAGACCCCACATCAATAAAAAAAAACAAAAAAACTCAATCTAAATATTTATATTCAAATCATTTGAATACTTATTAAATATTTTTCTAGAATCTACTTAATATTTGATTTAAAGATACGCAACTCATTATTCAAGCAATTTGATAAATCTATATTTTTCTTCCTTACAAACTATGTTTTAAGATATACTACGTAATATTTTAATAATACTAATAAATTTTTAAAAATCTGGGCTCCCATATATCAGTAGGCTTGTTCTAGATAACCTAATTAGCCCCTAAAAAAGGGCCTTGCATAGTTATTATGTACTTATAACGATAGTATATATTACTTCGTAGTAATTAGTGATAATAGCACATTCTAATCCGGAGTACGTAGTAGATAATAATACATCGGCCCGGTCCCATAATCAAGATGCATGATGTCCAGTGGCGGACTCAGAGATTTGTGAGAACGGAGGCACACTACAATAAAAACCTCGTATCTGAAGCGAGACACTAATTTTTACCTTAAATGCTACTAGTGAATTTTCGGACTCATAGCGGGGGCACGTGCCCCCTAGCCCCTTAGGTCCTCCACCGATGATGTCCAACAAAAGCTTCAATAAATGCTATGCATGTCAAAAACTACTCTTCATTCTCTTTTGGACAAAACGGGTAATTGCACCATCTGATTATTTACCGAATCATGTTTCAGGCTTTCAGCCGTTGCCTTATTAATGGCATTGTGTTACTAACTAAATGCATCATTGAATTTTATTTACCAAGTAGTTTTTGGTACTGATTTGTCACAGTGATACATACGCTACATTCATACCAAAATCCCCATCAAACACATTTATACACAAATAGTCCCTCCTAAATTATTGAGAAAAAATTGTGTCAAATTAATAATTAAAATATGTTTTGTCAAATAATTGTATTTCACTAATATTTAATCTTCCCAACCAAAAAAAATGTTAAAAGCAATTAAACACCACACCAGAGGATGAATGCATAAAAGTAATACATTTCACTTACAAAGTTGGATAACAAATAACTAGGCGCACATATTACTTCTTCATGCTCTTCCCTTAAAAATCTCAAATCAAACAAGCCCTTAAGCTCTCGCTAGAGAAGAGCCTAATATACTTCACTTACAAAGAATTCTTGTAATGAAAGTCTAATCTTATAGGGGGTGCACATAACGACACACTTTGGAAAGTTGGACCGAATGAAATCGCAAAATTCATAATGATATCAAGTACGGTTTTTTATTATGAGATATCTCAATTTAGATTTTTAGGCCGATCCGATTAAAATTAGGTGGTTCTAGTTTGAACCAAAATTTACCAGTTTTGTTATGTTTTTAAATACATAAAAATATTCCAATATATTACCTAATTTTATATTAGTTTATTCATTTGTAGTTGGAATAGTTCTTTTCAGCAATTTCAAATAGTAAAACAAAGAAAAAGTTACATAAAAATTTAGGGAGACGAAAGAAAAAAGGTTACAGTACTTCTCCTTCTCTTTCTCAACCCCTCTTCATTAATGTCAACCACATAAAGTCAGTTTTCTTGACAACCATACCATATTTTTTATACCAATGTTAGGCGGATGAATGTATTTAGTAAAACAAAGAAAAAGTTACATGAAAAATCATCAAAATAGTTCTTTTCAGCACTTTCAAGCAATTTCAGTCAATTAAGCCAACTTGAATCTTACTTATTTTAATATTCAATGTTTAAGATCAAAAGTTACGTATTTGATAAAAATTCTCTAATAGAGCGTCAAAAATAACGGTTATGTAATGACTCTGAAATTTCAAAATTAGTTTGATTAAATCAATTTATACTTTAAAATGTACATATATTAAAAGCATGTTAAAAGCATTTTTTTGCTTTTCAATACATAAAAATCTACAACTCTAAAGAATGAGCACACAATTTTTTTTATAACAAAATGAACTTACCTAATACAGTAGCATTTAATTAAGAATGGATGAGGTGTCTATTCAACAACTCTTTTACACTGTGCCTTTGAAGAATGAAACACATGTTTATAAATAAAAATATAATTAGTGATCCGTAATAGAGGTTTGTGAATTAATTCCGTGGCGCACAGTGACGCCCTTTACTTATGCAAAATCAAAAGCATATTAATCCAGAAGATAACATAATTGTAGAGATAGATCAGAGAAATATAGAAAGAGACCGAAACGAAATCAAAGAGAAGGAGACGGAACCAGCGAGGGGGGGAGAGAGCCACCGCCAGATGGCGTCGTTGCCGCAGGGTACTCTGGACAATCACCATTTACAGTACTACCATGACCATGGCGGAGTAGCAGCCGTGAGGCACGTCGCAGCCGCCACTGCTCAACGGTCAGAGATGGAGACGGACAAGGTATTGGACTATTCCCTAATCTTATTTTGCTCTACTTATTAGCGATAGGGAAAAGTATCATGCGGCGTCATGCGGTTTCCTACCATTCGTATTCGTGTCTATAACGAGCTAGGATTTTCCTGGACGTGCTTCGATCTAGCTCGGGAGCTTCGGTTTTGTTAGACCTCCGAGGTTTGATGCTTTTGTGGATTTGGAGGAGCAAAACGGAATATGAGCTGGAGAGTATTCGTCGGATGTGAGTATGTGACTAAAGAGATAGCTGAAGTGTCGAGGTGTTCTTATGCCGTAGATTTATGTCCAACTAAAATTTAGGGATCTGTTTCTGGACTTTTATATGCATATGAACCGTTTTCTCAAGGCTAACTTTATCCAGGTTGTAATTTCTCGGATTAACAAAACCCGTGAGCTGTATCCTGTAGGTAATTTGATGCTAACCATTTAAGTGTATTTTTTAAGAAGTTATTGGATTGCTTACTCTGTCGACTTTAATCCTTGTTCATGGAGTTCAATTTCCTTATATTATGAAGCATTTTACATGTTTATTCTCAAAAAAGAATCCTATGAAGTATGGAGTAGATGCGCAGGCCATGCACTCATGCAAGGTTCCTTAAGTTTTCATTGATGCTACTACTCATATCTGTTTTTCATTTTCGTTGGGATGTGGTTATCGAATAAAAGGGGTTGCCGGTGCACATGGGCATCCCTGCAAAGGCAAGGGTCCGGGGAAGGGTCCCACCACATGTGTACAAGTAGCAAGCCTTCACTTGTCATTTCTGACAAGTGACTTCTCCCCGGACTTGAACCCGTGACTTCTAGGGTCACACAGCCCGGTGTGTGAAAGCTCCCCTTCAGACATGGTAATTAAATGAGATTATATAAAAAAATTGTAATGTTTAGGCTACTATCTTCAACTCAAGCCAAATTGAGCCTCAATTTATTATGGAGTTCACAGCCTGCAATTGCTTACGGTTGATGGTGTGTTTATATGCTTAATGTTTTTCAATTGCAAGCTTTGTGGAATGTGATTCCTTGTTAGGCCAATTTATGCTACTTAAAGCATTAGAAAAATTCTCTCTCTCTCTCTCTCTCTCTCTCTCTCTCTGTATACATGAGTGTGCGTGTGTGTGTCTATCCTTCTTTGGATACCCAGGTAACTGGTTCAGACAATTAGGGAATGTTGAAAGACTTGTTGAGCATTTTTTTCTGCATACATTAATCTTTGGTTTGATCTACACCGTAGGAAATGACTGCTGCTGTAGTTGAAGGGAATGGTACAGTTACTGGTCACATCATTTCCACCACAATTGGAGGAATGAATGGAGAACCCAAAAGGGTTGGTTACTCAACTACTTCAATGTCATTTCTTCTAAATAATTTTTTTACATGCTAGGAGGCTAAGTTTTATATGTAATTTATATAGACAATTACATACATGGCAGAACGTGTTGTGGGAACTGGCTCGTTTGGAGTAGTTTTCCAGGTATGAGTTGCTATTTTTTAGTGAACTTATATCTGCCTCTTCCTAGTATTTAATCTCCTGATGCGATCAATAATTCCAGGCAAAATGCTTAGAAACTGGGGAAGCTGTGGCGATTAAAAAGGTTTTACAGGATAGACGGTATAAAAACCGCGAACTACAGTTGATGCGATTGATGGATCACCCTAATGTCATTTCCTTAAAACACTGCTTCTTCTCTACAACTGCTAAAGATGAGCTTTTCCTCAATTTAGTCATGGAGTATGTTCCTGAAAGTTTGTACAAGGCTTTGAAGCATTACACCGACTCTAATCACAGGATGCCCCTACTTTACGTTAAACTTTACATGTATCAGGTAGGAAATTCTCCTACCATAAATATTCTTTTAGCTTGCTTGACAACTCTGATAATGCTATTTGTGTTGGCCAGATATTTAGGGGTTTGGCTTATATCCACAATGTTACTGGTGTTTGCCATAGAGATGTGAAACCTCAAAATCTTTTGGTAAGTCAACTTATCTATCTTCCGCCGGGTTGTATGGAGCTGTTTGTCTAAATCTTTTGTAATATGAAGGTTGATCCACTGACCCACCAAGTCAAGCTGTGTGACTTTGGAAGCGCAAAAGTTCTGGTATGTTTGCTACTCTGTTGGCCAGGATTTATTATTATTTTTGGAGCTGTGTAAATAAAGCTCAAGAATCATGATGAAAAGAGTTGGTGAATGGTATTTCGTACTCCCTCTGTCCAAAAACAGTTTATGTTTAAGATCTTTTTTTTGTTCCAAAAAAAGAATATTTCAAAAGTCAACTTTCACTCAGGTAAATAGGCGTAGAGCAGGTTTAGTGGTATGGAAATGACCATTTTCAACTGGTAAAAAATTGTACCTTGATTGAGTTGACTAAAAATAAATGTTATACCACAATAAAACTAAATTCTTACTTTGGGACTGAGGGAGTAATTTTTCCCAACATCCTCTAACAACATCGAGCACTTTCTCCCCACGTTCTTTTGTCTTTGGCAGTTTTCTCTATTATACGTAGTGTATCTTCTATACAGGTTAGGGGTGAATCCAATATTGCGTACATCTGTTCCCGTTACTACCGGGCCCCAGAACTTATATTTGGTGCAACAGAGTATACTTCTTCTGTCGATATTTGGTCAGCTGGCTGTGTACTTGCCGAACTACTTCTGGGGCAGGTCTGCTTCATCGAATTTATCTGTAATGCATGTTCATCGATGTAATTTTTAGATTTTAACTTTTAAATGCCAGTGCAGCCACTCTTTCCTGGAGAAAATGCAGTAGACCAACTTGTAGAGATTATCAAGGTGCTTATTTAATTTTTAATTTAGAGGTTCAGGACCTCATTTATAATGAGTTTTGTCACTTATCCTATTAATAAAACATTTCATGATAGGTGCTTGGGACTCCAACAAGAGAAGATGTTCGGTGTATGAACCCAAATTATACTGCTTTTAGATTCCCCCAAGTCAAAGCTCATCCCTGGCATAAGGTTTTATGCAATATTGTTGTATTCTACATTTTGTTTTCAATAATATGTATATCTTCAAATTGCTAAATTCTTTGCATTCAGGTTTTCCTAAAAAGAATGCCCCCTGATGCGATTGATTTAGTATCTAGGCTACTCCAATACTCACCAAGTCTCCGTTGTACTGCTGTGAGTTTAACACTATATTGCTGTAAACACACTATTGGTCGTTGCTTATTTTCCTTGATAACATTTTTATGAAACATTAGATTGCTTAAAACCATTTGTACTAAATTGAGGAATGTTATGACACACACAAACACACACATAATAATCTCTGTAGTTATTCTTTATATTTCTCTATTGGCACTTTAGCAGTTGATATGTTGTTGACTTGTACAGCTAGAAGCATGTGCACATCCTTTCTTTGATGAGCTCCGGGGACCCAATGCGTGCCTCCCGAATGGCCGCCCTTTCCCACCGCTTTTCAACTTCAATCAGGAAGTATGGTTATGGCTCCTTTCATTTTTCCTTTTAGATATAACAAGAATGCTAGACTACCATGTGAGTTTTTTAAAAATAAAACATTGTTTTTTTGTCATCAGAGAGTTTAATTTACGAATTGCTATTGTGTTTTTGGATTCTTTTGTCTCGTCAAAGTGATATCATTTTCACCTTCAAGAATGCTTTTCATAAATTATAAATGTGCGTCTGTGATGGTTTTCTTTTTCTTTTTACCACATCCATTTGGAGGGGATGACAATAAATCATATCCTGCAGTTAGCGGGAGCTTCACCTGAATTGATCAACCGGTTGATACCAGAACACATCCAGCGGCAAATTGGTTTGAACTTTTCGCATTTTGGGGGAGACTAATTAAAATGATATCCGGGAAGCATATGAAGTTGTTCATGATCTAGAGGCCGAATGTGATATGAAACCATAACAAGCGGTGATGGATGATGATATGTAACACTGTTTTGGCACAACAACTTCATGGAGGTGGTTTAAAAGTTGTTTCTTTTGGCTCTTGGTCTTCTTCTGCTCCACTGGGAATCTTTATCGTTTTTATGCCTGTACATTATTTTGGTCAAGAGACGATACTGTTTTGTGTTTAGTTTAGTTAGGCAGGCAGATTTGCTTCAGGGGCAAATTCAGTGCACTACGAGGCTCCATGTAATTTGTTTTGTGCTTTAGTTAAATGCCAATGTGATTCAAAATTTTTGCATCTTTTTGGGGCTTCAGAGTCACAGTTCAAGTAGAGCTAGCTAATCACATGCTGATATACGGAGTAATATTTACATCAACATCTTCACTCTTTTTACCAAAATCGGTCACAACACTTATCCACATTTACCCTATTATACGTCAAGCTAAAATGTCTGGCAATTCAAGGATGACTTTCAACACCATCATTCAAGCTTTAGTCTCAAAAGATTTTGGGATCGACTAACATTAAGTCAGATTTGGAGGTGTACTAAGTTTTCAAGATCCTCTTATAGAAGTCAGGTTTCAATAATCAATCAAAGAGCTCCTCGAGGAGAGGATCTTCAACATCATGGAAGTCCAAATGCCAAAATGAACGAATCGAATGACATGCAATCCTATACTATTTGCAAGTTCTATTGAGCTCATCAAGATGAGGCTATGTTGAGTTAGGATGTTTTTACTTGGATTGTAATTTGTTGTTCTGATCTGGTTTGAATTGGTCTGATCTAGTAATTGTCTGGTCTCTTTGTATTTTATAACTACGGAAGTCTGGTCTGATCTGGTCTATTTAAGTCTGATCTGATTTGGGACTGAAACAAGTCCAAGTAAAAACGTCTTTACCCGGTCCATTCAAGATGAGCAAGAATATGCACTTGGCATTGTGGGTGGTGAGCTAATTTTTTTAATGACGAACCAAGGTCACCCCTTCACCAGGCATGGATCGGGCCCGGGCCGGTTCGGTCGGGCTTTTTTTTGCGAAATGTTGGGCCCGGAACCGGCCCTGGTTGATACCGGGTCCGGGCCGGTTCAATGTATTAACTATTACGTAGTATGTTTTTTTTTTGCTTTCTAATTAACCCCTGACCCCCCTCCCCCACCCCGACCCCTCAAACCTCCACAAAACACCCAGCCGGGCCAGTTCTACCGAAGGAAAAGAAAAAAAATTGAAAAGAAAAATGGCTCGGACCGCCCGGGCCGGTTCATGAAAATCAAGGCCCGAGCCCGGCCCACCCAAACCGGGCTAAAGCCTGGAACCGGCCATCCGGGCCCGCACAGTAGCGGGCTGGTCTGGTTCACGGCCCGATTCAGCCCGGTTGGGTCCATCCCTACCCTTCACTTGATGAGATTTCAACATTAGAGTTACTCTCCGCTTTTTCTTGTTGCCCCATTTCTTACGGAGTCGATCCTATGTGATGAAGATAGTGTAACTAATCTTTCTTTTACCTCTTTGATTTATGGAGTTAACCACACCTTTGAGGAGACTGTTGTGGACCTGGATACAGTAAATGTGTTGGGGAGAGCACTTCAGTTTAAAATTGATGAGATTGGTGAATAAATCCATCATGAGCTCCAATCTCAAACCTCAACTAAAGACCAACTACCACAATCCCATTTTATCTGTCATCCTGTTCTTGGTTTATTATTTAATAACAATGCTCATATATGTGCAATGAAGCCATACACTTGCTTTGTTTCCGATATGTGATAAGGGTGAAATTTATGAGGAATCCATAGAGAGTTGAAGAGTTGAGATTTTCGAAAGTGAAGACAGAGCTTTACTTAGACCATTTGGAGTGGTGTGGAGGTCAAATGTCAAAAGTGATCTCCGTTCATATGAAAACACTCGAATCAGACTTAAAGTTAGTCACCTTCGAAGAAGTAATATAACTCGCTGAGCTGATCCTTGATTGGAAGCAAATGAGCCAAAGACGGCTAAAGAAGACATCTCATCACCCAAATCTAAAGCCAATGTCTTATCGCAAAAGTAATAACAAACAAAAAAGTAAACATTTTGACCATATAAGGTAAATACCAAAAAACAATAAAATAAAATTTTTGCCCGATCTTCCAGAGCACCACCACCATCCACGTTCCCGACCAATTGATCTTCTTCAAATATTCCGGTGGACCTGGTGATCGGGACCCACCGCCTCCCCGTTTCTTGGCTTATTGAGAGCCATGTTATCACCAATTGGGTCCTCCTATTCTTGACCCTCCCATATTCTCCTGCGTTTTTTGTCCCCTCGGCATTTCCTCGGTGCTCCCAAAATCACCCTCTTTAGTCATGCTATTGTCTGTGCCCTTCGTGGACTCCCTCCAGCCCTATCCACTCTGCCCTGAATATCATCCCTTTGATGCACCCCCATACCCGTACTTGAGGAGCCTTCAACTAGCCACTTGTTTCCCTCTGTAGGACTAGTCTTCCCCTCTCAACCCCATAAGATTTTTCCACCACCATATTCTCCTCATAAATCAATTGACAAAACTTATCAGAATGACCAATAACCTCATAAGTATAACAAAGTTAGGTAGCTTTTCATACTTGAAACCTACCCAGTGGCCACCCCCCCCCCCTTCTTGAGGGTTGCTCCTTTTCTTCCTAGAGGTTATCCAACATCCATACAGACCTTAGTACGCATATAAGCTTCCCACGTTTCGTCAAATTGGTTTTCCTCATAGCTAATAAACTTACCAATATAGTTACCAACCCTCATAAAGGTGCCTATGTTCATAAAGTCACAAGGAACAACATTATGAACCTGCACCCAATATTCAGCCTCGTTAAGGCTAATTTGAGCGGAATATCCTCTGGCCCGACTTCCTTGAAATCCAACAGATTCCTTTCGAACAACCACGAACCACTCTCTAAAACACGTCTCATATCCACAACATGATGAGAAGTGACAAGATACTTTTTGTCGCCTATTTCTTTGATTGCACACCTTTACCTGATCGCCACAAAGAAGCCATAAGTTCTTTGAAGATGTGGAACTTTGTCTTCCTATCAGTTAGAAGGGTGCCTACAATCGGGAGGCTCGCCCGCCTATCCTCCACCGCGATTTCTCTGAAATCATCATCATCATCATCATCATCAAAGTTTAGCTCCTTTTCATCCCCTCCAATAACCATGTTTTTGTATTGATTGACAATATTTTTAATTGGAATCCTCCCTGCTGGACCGAGCCGAAACTCGCCACAACGCTCAAACAAACATATGCTTTCCTTGCTGGATCGAGCCGAGTCCGCCACTGGAGAGTCATGAACCCCAACCTCGAACAAAACTCCCCTCGCTCGACCGAAAACCGCGACCGCTCTTTGTCAAGGACGAAAGTGGAGATCGAAAACCTTAGAGAGGGAGAGACCGTTTAAGTTTGAAATAGAGCATATAATAACAAAATTTAAAAATATTTGAACAATCGAACTAAATAACAAAATTTGGATGTAAAATATTGATGTGCTATTATAACCAAGCATTGCAGTCCAGCTGATTGTGAGGTTATCGTGCCTAGTGGGAGGTCTCGAGTTCGAAACCCGCTAAACACGTAAGGGTTTGAAACTCAATGGAATGAGTTTCAGCCCTGATTACTCCAGGCCCCCAGCCCACTTCTCCAGACCTCCCTTGGAGTAAAAAAAATAAAAAAAATATTGATGTGCTATTACGTAGTATTATAAAGCTTCTCGGAAAAACATTGGGCCGATTTACTTTTTATACACATGTTAAAAATGAAATTTTTTGACTCCTAATTTTATTTAGTAGAAGGCTAAATGACGTGTTAAAAGTAGAAAAATAGATGAAAGGTGTTAAAAATAGACAGAGGATCGAATGAGGAAAAGAAAAAAGAAAAAGAAAAGAAAAGGGGAAGGAGAGGAATGACTTGTGAAAGGAGGTGGGGATGATGTCATCCCACGTCATCTTTGCGTCATTATAATCCCAATAGTTTTTAAACTCTTCGCTTATAATTTTTTGTATTTGTTCTCCATTTTTTAAAAAAAATATATTAAAGTTTATGAATTTTTATGATTTTTTGTATGATACCAATATTTAATATATATAATAAAAAAATCTGAAATTTTAACCAATGAAGTTTTCTTTGAGCGAAAAAACATCTTTTTAATTCATGGAGTCTTCACAAATAACTGAATATTTCAAATGGAACTTTACTTGAACTAACTTCTTTTTTTGTTAATCGAAAAACGTTAAGAAAATCAGTGAAATTTGTTTGTATTTTTTTATTTCATAAGTATTCAGGGAAAAAATTAAATGAAGAAAAAACGTATAATAATATAATTAATGTTTTAACTAAATTAAAATATAAAAAAATATGATAGTGTATATTATTGACGAAGCTATAATGGAAGAAAATAGAAGTTTAACATATGAATGAAATCCATTTTTAACATACTTCTGCTAGTAATATTCAATCTACATTTGAGTAATTCTCTACAGTTACTATAATTGTAAACAACCTCTTGACGTCCACAGTTCCTCAAGCTTTCCGTTGAGGTGCGGCCAGGCTATTAGAAAATTCATCAGATAATCAGGTATTTGAACTTCTTCGCTGCATCACTTCCAATCTCTATCAAAATGTCTCAAAAAATGATACGTCTTTGACCTTTGTTTCTATTGCCTACTGAAGAAACGAAATTAAAAGATGTTTTTATGAAATGACAAATTCTTAGATTCTTAATCTCATAATACTCGTACCTAATCTATTAGACCTAAACTTTCTGAAAATGTGTTTGAAATGCCACTCTGCTTGCCAAAATTTTCCAGTTTTCAGACGTGTTTGCTTTTCCAGTATTTTTTCTTTGCTTTTGTATACTCCGTATTTTATTTGGCCACATAGTTTTTGATCTTTAAACCTGTAATTGGTGTCATTTTTTTTTTCATTTTAAACAGTTTCCAGTACATCGAAAAAATGCCCATGTTTTTTTTTAATATTTACATATTACATTCAGAAACCAGAATCTATTTCATATGCACTTTTAATAATTTCCGATCCTTGCAAATTTATGTCAAAAGTAGTTTAAAGGGTTAAAATGGCTACTTTAATAACAAGTAAGTAATAAAATTAGATAACTAGGGTGGGGGGGGGGGGTCTGGATCTACTTCTTAACCAGAAGTAGATATTGGAGTATATGTGGGTGAAAATGCAGAAGTATTTTTGGGTGCTCCAAAATGCTCCTAGAAGTAGTTTCTTAGAAGCTGGTCTCCTAGGAAGTTGATTTTGATTCTACTTCTGCACCTCCACATATATTTTTCAGGGGGTATATTAGCACTTTCCCCCCTTTTTTAAAGATACATTTCAGTTATAGTCTATGTGCTCTCATCATCTGCACAAACAAAAATGTCTCATTTGCGAGTTTGTTTATTATTGGGCGCATTTGATACTCCATATTAAATTATATTTTCGAGATTAATTTTTTTCATAGGCAGTTGGGTTGGGATTTAACTCATTTAAGATGAGCTGCATGTCTTGAGCAATTTTTGTTAATGTTAAATAAAATCATATAATGTAAAATATAGTTACAACATCAACTTTTTATTTATTATTAGATATTAGATAATTAAATATGTTAGTGTTAAAAGTAGTGCATCAACAAGCGTGAACGCAAACTGTTACAATTAAATATTAAAAAGAATGGAGGAAGTATAAAATAAGAAGAGATTTATGAAATGACAAAGCATAAGTTTAAAATCTTTTAGAAAACATCTATCATGTCTCATTTTTAAGAATTACTTTCATATATCAAGTACTTAGAAAGTGTTTCTAATATGGCATGTTCTACATGAAGACTTTGGTAGATTTAACTATTTTCCATATTCTGATCAGTGCATTCCTAACTATATATTGTTTTAGACATATACCTAAATCCTTAAATAATACTCCGTAGCTTTTTTACATCTAAAGCTAAGTCAGTATATATCCAAATTCTCAATCTCTCTCTTTGTTACAATCTAGAGATCAATCTCACACATGTTTTTTTGTCTCACGGGTACGTTGGATTTAATCCTGAAGAAAAGTAATTCTCAAGGATGTTTTGCTTGTATATCTATTGTTTCTTTAGCTTTCATTTGTGGCTATTGACTTGTTTCTTCCTTTTAGCATTAATGAATAGGAAAATGGAGTTTTCCCAGTGGTGAGTGACAAATGTCCTTCTTTGAGAAGGTAATCAAGATATTCATATTTACAATTCGTGTGTGATAAGGAAGATGTCAAATAAAAGAGATCCAATCTTTCTAGAACTTTTTAATTCTAAGTAATTTAAGTAAGATATCATTCATAAAATGAAGTATTGTGTAATATGCAGTTCTGCTCCAAAGATAAGTAGGATCTACAAGTGAAAAGGCAAGTTAATGTATCACTATCCTCTTTTATTTTCGAGTAAGTTTCATAATTGGAAAATCTTTTCTAATTTTAAAATGTGTTGACTGTAGCTATAAGTCGATACATAGTTCCTCTTCTAATTTAGAATGTGCATAATACAACTTTATAACTTTAATTTGAAGTGATAACATCTTTTAGCCATACCAGTATACCACTGTGGCTTAGTAGCATAAGTATATTTATTCACAATAGTAATTGAGGCCATAGTATTTATGGTTTGTTGTGCATTTTTTTTTAAAAAGACTGGTAAGTCATGGATCTTTCCGGGACATTATGAAGTACCTTCTTAAAAGTTAAAACCAATTTGAGTGTTTTTGTCAAGTTATTATTGCAGACTATATATGGTATGTCATCATCAATCATCCTGATCTGACTAATTCTAGATAATGAGGACTAGTGCTATATTGTTATGAGTAGATAATGATTGATATGTCTCAGTAATGATGATTAGTCATCCTGAAATAACTTTAGTTTTCGACAATGACTTTCAGGCTGATAAAAGAATAGTCGAACACGTTGGCATAATTGATATGCCTTCGATGAGAAAGTTGGAAAAGATTGGACCGTCTACTGTTGAACCTTTTTTAGACATTGCAATCGATGGTGGAGGTAAAAGTAAGGAAAATACTGATTTGGCAGAAATAAGGAGAGGCCTGAAGAGGAAGAAACAAAAGGGAGAAGTATTTTATTACTAAAGAGTGGACTAAGGAGCAAGAGCTGGCATTACAAAGAGCTTATTATTCTGCTAAAGCAACTCCTCATTTCTGGAAGAAAGTCTCAAAGATGGTAATATTCCCACACCCCTCATTGTGTTGAAAATTTCTTTTTGTATGACTTGTATGACAATTTGCCTACCTTGAAATATATGGCCTTATTGGAGGTGGATGGAAATTGAGTGTGATGTTAACCTGTTATGTTGTTTCAATAATTTAGGCTTTGAGTGAAATACTATAAGGACAACCTTGTAAAACAATAGCGCTCCATATTAAGATGGATGAACAATCATGTGGGGATGTCATTTCTGGGTTTTGGGTTCTTGCTGTATATATCTCAGATTATGATTATTGTGAAGGTCTACAAGCTATGCTTGAAGTATATATGCGAGTACTGTGAAGAACCCCTTTCTCTAGACTTCATGAACTTATTCCAATTTTATTGAATAAGATTACTACAGACTATGCGTTAAGTAGCCAGTGTCAGTAAAAGTTTGCACTAGCTCTATGCGCCCCCTCCCCCCACCACTACCACCACACATACACCAAAGAAGTCTATAATTTATTGCTAAAATTAGTACATATTACAAATATGACTCTTTTCTAGTCGTAGTAGACTAGTAGTCAGTTGGGTGGTCCGTGTAAAGTTAAATGATGGTTCGAAAGGGCATACATGTATGGATTCTGGAGGCGCTTGAATGGGGAGGCTTTTAAGACTGGATATCTTGATACTTAAAATCCTGTCCACAACACTGCAAGATATACTATGCGGCCTTATACAATTGAAAGCCTCTAAGAGGTTGAATACAATTGAAAGAATTAAATGTAATTATTTCCTGCACTGCTGTGGACAGGCAATACTTGTTCTCTTGTGCTTTTTCTTGTAATATCAAACTTTCAACTACTAGTAAGTAGTAACAAGAAATGTGGACATATATTCAACAGGTGCCTGGGAAGTCAGCACAAGAGTGCTTTGACAGGATACATTCAGATCACATGACCCCACCCCAACCCCGCCAACGTTCAAGGGTTAACCAGGCAATGCCGTTTTTATCTCCTCTCTGTTCAAGCAAATTGCTTGACCCGATGAATCCAAAACCAAAGAAACGCATTTCAAATAAAGCAGTGAGAGAGATGCTGAATAAACAACGCAAGGTGGAGAGGGATACTATGGAGAAGGACCTCTTCACTTTACTTGAGGAGGAGTCAACCACAGCAAAAACTCCTGATGTTTTTCCGAGCGGCGACAGTTTTTACGTACTTACCCCCGAGTTGAAGTCAGATCACCGAAGTAACTTTTCGCAACTAAGTAACCTGGAGGCAACCACTCTCTTTAGTCCTCCTGTTCTAAAGCCAATCAAGAACAAAGCATTGCATGACCGATACATTGATCAGTTGCTTTTCAGGGAGGCTAAGAGGAAGGCTGCGTTTTTAAGAAAGTCAAAGCGTTCACTAGGAAAGGGTGAAGAAGAACACCAAAAGGTGGAAGCGACAACAATTCAAGCCGCAAAGAATGCTCTCATCTTTAATGCAAGAGATGCTATCAAACAATTTCAGAGTTTTCAAACAAATCAGTTCCAAAATGTCTTTAGTGATGGGGAAGATGGCGATGGAGATGATTTTGGTTACAATGATGATGATGGCGAGTGAGTCTTGGATGTATACTGTTTTTTATTTTTAATGATTTTGTTTTGATTCTCTGGTGTTACTAGTTTGGCATAATTATTCTCCTTTGATAATAAATTAATACGATAGTAATAGTTTATAAAATGCGAGTCATAGGGAAAAGCCCACCGGAATGCCAGCACAAGTGCATGATGACTCAACCATGAAACTTACTATAGCCTGTATATGTGTGTTAAGTGTATTTTACTTGTGTGTGTGTGTGTGTGTGTGTGTGTGTGTATATGCTAATATGCCACAGCCAATTATGTTTGTTATAGTAAGCATATGTTAAGAATTACAAGCTTCTCCCTATCTTCTCAATGATGACCGTCCGCCGTCGCTAGTTTGGCCAATTTATTTGAGTATAATACACACTATCAACTACTTTGGATTTAGTTTCGTTTTCTTTTTATGATGCTTCTCATCTCATATCTCACCGCTAGGGGCGCAAATGAGTCGAGTCAAGTTCGAACATGAGTATACTTGAAGTTGAGCTTGATATGAATTCATGAGCTCCAGCTCGAGCTTGGAAGAACTAAATAATCCGGGCTTGAACTCCAGTCGAAGTCGGCTCAACTCGAGTTTGGTTCAAGACCGAACTCAAATAACATGCTTGAACTCGAGCTCGAAGTTGAGGTAAAAATAAAATTTCTAGTTTCAAAATTATTAATATTACATTTTATTTTTCTTGTGTTCCTTTATCTTATACTTATATTTACTTGCTTTATCTTATCATTTTTATCTTACCTTATCTTTTTATTTTTCATCTTTCTTTTTTTGGACTCTGATATCATAGATCATTTCATGTTTGCAAATATCATTTATTAGGTGATCATAATATCACCTAATATCTTTCTTCACCACTTTTTTTTATCTTACTCATAAAAAATATCGGAATATCAAATAAGTGATCATATTTGCAAATATCATTTATTAGGTGGTATCATATCAGTTTTTGATATCTTAATTTCTTGTCAAAAAATAGCTCCATATTATTTTTATTATATTTCAAAGAGAAAAGGGTCAAATAAGGTCTTCTACTATTATGAAATAGTCACATAAGGCCATGTACTAAATAAAGTGTTATATAAGTACCTCTACTTGTAAAAAGCAATCAAATGAGTCCTAATGACCTATTTAACACCTCTTAATCCCGATTTCAACGTACTTTTGACCATCTTTTTAGAATACATTATATGGCATATGTCGAATATTTAACTAAGATTGGTTGAAATACAAGTAAAAGAAATCGACATGTAAGCTAAAATCGGGATTAGGAGGTGTTAAATAAGCCGTTAGGACTCATTTGATTGTTTTATACAAGTAGAGGTACTTATATGACACTTTATTGAGTACATGACCTTATGTGACTATTTCATAATAGTAGAAGGCCTTATTTGACCCTTTTCTCTATTTCAAATACTTAGTATTAATAGAAATCATTTTCCAAAGTATATATTATTATTGATTTATGGGTGGTCAGGGGCAAAGCCAAGGCACTGCACCAAACTAGATTGGTACAAAGAATATTTTTGAAAAAAAAAACATGAAAATTTTTAACTTAAAAATTAAAGCATTTTTAAAGTTATTTTCTAATTCTCATATATTTATTTTAGAAATCAGAGAAAATCACACTAAACGCGACTAAAACATAAGCAGTAAACATTACATTTCATTTTTTTAAAAAAAGAGTAAACAGTACTTTTCTAACCTTAATATGATTTATTAATTGTCCCCCATATAGCATACTCAGGGCAGTTCGTTGGCGGCAGCACTCCAGTAGCGATTAGAAATTCAGTCATTTATGCCATCAAAAACTGAAAATCCAATCATCAAATAAATGATATTTGCGAATATGATCACTATAATTGATAGGGCTGGCATTTTTAACCGAAAAACCGAAAACCGAACCGAAAAAAACCGAACCGAGCAATAAAAAAACCGAACAGAAACCGAACCGACTTGAATGAGACCCGAAAGTCGGGACCGAGTATAAATCGGTTCGAACACGATTCTGTAATATTTAAAATCGGTTTAAACCGAACCAAACCGACTTTTTTTTTCAATAATAATTATTTAATTATTTTATTTTATTCGTAGTCGTAAATGTAATAAGTACAATTTGCGTCCCATTTAAAACAACAATAGCTCAGTGGCCGTGCAACGATGCTGTATGCATATGCTCCCTCCCACCCAGGATCGATTTCCCCCTCCGTCGAAATCTTTAAATTTTTTGTTTAGTGCAGACTTTTTGCTTTACTTTTTCTTCAGCAACTGAATTAGTCAAATATTTAGTAGCTTTTAGTAGCTACTGAATTAGTCAAATATTTTATTAGAATGAGATTAAATCAAAATTTTATTCGGTTTTTACCAAAACCGAAAAACCGAACCGAAATTTCGGTTTCCAATTATTTGGGTCCCAAATATATTTGGTTTGGTTTCGGTTACATTTTTTGTCAAACCGAAATAATCGGTTCGGTTTGGTTTTTCTCATTTTCGGTTCGGTAACCGAACCGAATCCAACCCTAATAATTGATGCAGAGTATTATGTTTTGATGATTTAAATGATTGGGTTTTAGTGAAAAATTGATTTGTATCACTTTTGTTACTTATTCAAATAGTTGCTTTTATTAAAAGTTATTTTCAAATAAATTATGTATCATTTTTGGTCCATGAAACATATTTTGTATTAATAAAATGATTTTTCCGTAAATATGTTAGAATAGAATTACGGTAAAAATGGGTAAATTGCGAAGAATCAAGTTAATTTTTTAATTTTAGAAATTAAGAGTTGAATAAACAAATCGGGAAATTATATTAAGATGAAGTAGCACTCCATCTTACTCTTGAAATTACAAAGAACATGAACTTGAATTTTCAAAGTCGATTAAGTACATCTGCTATGCCAGAACGTCAAAATGACATATCTGACCAAATTATCCGTTTGTATTATAGTTACTAGTTATGTAACGCGCGTTGCGCGTTCGTTGTAATGCCCAACATCATTGTAGGGAATAGGGACATTGATAAATAGGCAAACAAAAAAGAATGTTATTTTAAACTTTAAAATGACATGAACATTTTCTCAAGACCGTTATACCCTAACAATATTAATGCTTATAGAATTGTAGAGAAAGCTCTAATAATTATAAACTTTCTCACATGTAAGGAGAAAAAAATAAAAGCACATTTTAAGTTTTAACAATAAAAAATTCACAAACCCACACAAAATAATATACCTAAAAAAATTACCATTGCCAAGAGCAAGTAGATGTCGTATTGATGGATGTCATGTTTAAGGGAAATTACCTTAAATAGGACTAAAAACGTCTGTATCTTTCAAAATATGAGTATCATGTTTTTACTTCCAAAATATGAGTGATGGAGTATATGGGCCTGGACCTCAGGGCCCACATACTCGGGAGAACAGAAGGTACCACGACCACCTGGTGGGACCCTCATCGGCCAGATGACCCCCATCGGCCAGAAAGAAGTCTACTCAGAATGTGATCCAGTAGCCGGGAAGAGCCGGGTGACCTCATCGGCCGGGTCTTCATCGGCCATGCCCTCGTAAGCCATAGACAGTCTCCAGAACAGGATTTACACTTAATCTTTTCTATGTACTTTGTATCCGGCCCATTAGTGACCCTATTGTAGATGGGCCTCCCAAGCCCAAGACTTGGGAGCCCAGCCCTAATTTTTCCTATAAATATTCCCTCTGGGAGTAGTTGTAGGGGTTCACAAATCATTAATACAGAGCAAATATAGTACTTCTCTCTCTAGCTCTCCCTTCTCTCTAGACTTATAGTCTATCATTTGATGCTCTCGTTGAGAGCCAAAACAATCAAGTTAGTCTCCTTCGTCGCTACCAAGTACAACTAACTGGCAATGGGAAGAACTAAGTCAAACCGCAACCTCCTCAGCAAGGCCATCCCTAAGGCACAGGAGAATCAAGAGCACGAGGAGGATGCTACGGCCGACAAGGCCGCCGAGGGGGATGTCTTCCAGGAAGCCATCGACCTGGAAGGAGACCTGCGCAACAAGCTCAACGACGGCGCTCCCGATGCCCGCATCGGCTTGGACAAAAGGCGCACGGCAAACGGCGACGCCTCGGCGCAACCGGAATCTCCTACAGTTGACCCTCAGCTTCAGGCCGCGCTCTCGGCCATCATCGCCAGCTTGGCCCAGAACCCCACCGTCCTCAGCGCACTCATGCCAAGGACGGGGGAGAACACGACGCCGCCTCCTCAGCCCCAGCCATTGGCCGTCAGGCTAGGCAACGATGAGGGGGTGGTGCCCCAGGACACGACGTCGTCCCACTCCCACCCAACTTCCCCGCTTCAAGCTGGACCGACCCCAGCGCATGGAAAAGCCTCAGCCTTTAACAGGCTAGGTGACACGTGTCGTCGCCCTGCTTCGGAGAGGATGGCGGGGCGGATTGGGCAGCGTGAGCCTGTCTCACCCTGGGAAAGCTTGGGGTCGGTATCCCGGATAGCGGAGCGGCCCCGCCTGGACAAAGGCAAGGGGACACTACATGAGGATGATGTCCGTCACCAAATCAACACGGCTCATGCAGCCCGCTTGCAAACTCAGGGTGCCACTATGGCCGCCAGGGACCCCAGGGACGAGGTGATCGCCCAACTCGAGCGAAGGCTCGCCCAGATGGAGGCCAAACAGCTGGCCGCCACGCCCACCGGCAATTCATCCAGAGATCCCAGCTTCAATGCCTTTCTGAACAAGGTCACTATCCTTGAGAGGGAGTTGGCCGAAGGACGAGGAGACCCCATCATCCAGGTCAGGACGAGGACCCCCTTCACCGCCAGGGTACTCTCGGCCCCTATCCCTGAGAAGTACCGGGGAAACGCAATCAAGCCATATGACGGGCGCTCCGACCCCCAGAAGCACTTCAGCCGCTACCAGAACAACATGATGATGGTGAACGCGTCAGATGAATACCTTTGCCGCTGGTTCCTTTCCACTCTTGAAGGGCCAGCGTATGAGTAGTTCAACGCACTCCCCGAGGGGAGCATATACTCGTGGCAAGACCTTGCCCAGCGCTTCCTCACTCACTTTGTCGGAAGGAAGCGCGCAAAGAAATACTTCACCCATCTTCTCTCCGTCAAGCAGCAGCATGACGAATCACTCTGGTCGTTCATCGACCGGTGGACGAGGGAGACTGATGAGGTCGAGGGGGCCGATGAGCGCATCCCTCCTCGTACTCTTTCAGGGTGCCCTCCGCAGCACCCCATATGCGAGGAGCCTCATCACTGACCCACCGAGGTCCTATCTGAAGGCGCTTCAGCGAGGAAACTT